CTCTCTCTCTCTCTCTCTCTCTCTCTCTCTCTCTCTCTCTCTCTCTCTCTCCCCCACTCCACTCTCCTCCTCCTCTGACTCTTTCTCTCTCTCTCTAAGAAGTGCTGAATTCTGAAGTTCGTATCTGGTTTTCTTGCCTTGTTTATTCCTCTAGTAGGGAGCAGCACTTTTCAGCCCAGCGGTGCTGGTGTGGGGAGGGAAAGTGGGAGATGGGAAGGAGGAAGGTAAGTTCTGGGAAAAGAGGGAAATGGTTCTAGGAAGAGGTGAAAAGGAGGGAATTGGAGTGGGGATGGTGGTTGGGGACTCCAGGGTTCTGACACCACCACTTTAACCAATGAGGAAGAGCTGCACACAGTAATTTTCTCTGATGCCCCAACCTCTTATGCCTCCATCCTCAGGGTAGCTGTTTAACCATTCCGAGATCCTATTGCTATTTAAGAGGCAACCTCTGTCTAAGGAGCTTACTGGAATCAAAGAAAGTGATCTATATTTGGTCGTAGGGAATAAGGAAAAAGCACTGACTTGGAGGTGGGGTGGACCGAGGTGGAGAGATACCCACTTAAAAGAAGTAAAGAGGACCAGGGGATTGAATTCCTTTCGGGGGGGAGGTGTCACTATTCGAAGGTCTCATTTGCTTCATAACCTGTTCTCCTCTTGGCCTCTCCAGTCACACGGCAAGAATGGCTCTCCGACTGTGTAAGACCCCAAAGGTCACCTCTGAGGACGACACATGACAGGCTAACAAGGTGAAAACCAACATTTGCCAGGGTGGTGGCGGCGGCGGCAATAAACCATGTTTTCACACCTTTCCTCTTTTTATATCTGAGCTTCCTTGGGGGTTACCCTTTTTTTTTTACTTCCTTTTTGACATGGCTCTCGAGCCTTCAGATTTCGCAGATTTTGTCAACTTTTTTTTCTTCCATAAAAGACACAAAGATCAATCTGGGCTTTCAGTTTTTATTCTGGTGCTTCTGTCTCTTTGGGGGACGGATCTGCATGAGGTCCAGCATTTTAAAGAAGTTTTAAAGACCATCTGCTACGCAATAGCATCAACCACCGCCTCGGCATTCAGTGAGTGGCGATCTTTTCAAAGTTCTCAGACCGCATCCCAACAAGATGAAAACATTCTTTCCAACATTCTGCGTGCATTCCAAATGCCCCATATTCAGGATCTGCGTCTGTGATCCCATAATTATTACAGCTCATCTCAATACACTGGGAAGGATTTGAATCTCAAAAGATCCGAAACTGAGTCTATTTGAATGGACTGGGATTATGCATTCAAGACCCCACTGTCCACTAGTTAGGGTAACATTAAAAGAAAAATATTGGAATCAGTGCCTTGCATAATCTGCATCTTTATATTAAATGGAGTAGGTCCAACTGCTTACTCACTCCCCTTCTCCATCTGACAACTTTCATTTTTCTTTTCAAAGTTTCTGAAGCCACGTGATTATATAGTGTGGTTTTTAGCGGAGTTGTCAGATTTCAAAGAAAAAAATAAATACACAGATTTCTGATTATTGTTGTTATTATTATTAAATTATGATTTCAAAGGACAGTGACTTTTAAGTACCTCAGACCTTCAAAATTGTATTTACAACTTGGTGGAGTGAACAGTCTGGATTTGGAGGACATGAGGTTCAAATCAGAGTTGTGCTACATACTCCGCGTGTGACCATGGACCTCTCTGAGCCTCAGTTTCCACATTTGTAAAATGGAATTAGGTTACATGACCACTGAATCCCTTGTAGTTCTAAATCTAAATGACCCAGATGATATTACACTACCCCTCCCCCAAAACAAAAAAAAAGCAACATCATAATTTTAATTTGAGTAATGCTTAGTCACCAATGGCTTTGACCTATCCTGTTATAGTTGGATTGTGGTCTCCTTCCAAACTTTGAAGATAAATGAATATTTCTTAAAGCCCATAAAGTGCCCTTTATTGCAATTCAGAAAGCCTCCCTAAATCAGTTAAGTGTCCTTTTCCAAACAGTCACCACAAGCTTCTCTGATGGAGAGAAGATCATGCCCTGAAGCACTTATATCGACTAGAGTCGAGTGTCCTCTAGATTCAAGTTCTCAGAGGATTAGAGGAGAGTTCAGGGTTTAGGGACAGTTGGGGAATGGTGGACCTGGGGGCGGGGAGATCTTTTAGGGCTACAGGGATTACTGGGTTGTGACCTCACTAGTAACAAGCCAGATCCCTCTGCGGGCTTTTTGATCGCCAACCAGCCAGAGAGCTCACGCTCAGAAGACTCCGACTTCGGAGTTTGGGGGAAACAAAAACAAAAACAAAACAAAAACAGAAACAAAATAAAACTGTTTTGGGGTTGATCACCAGCCTCCGCAGCTCAGTCACTCCCCAACCCCTAATCCCATCACAGCCCACTCCCTGGACACCTAGAACCTTCATTTCCGAGAGCACATTAGGTGGTGAGAATGAGTGGTAATTATTACGGTAGTAAACAGACACGGGTCCATCATTTTACAATAATGAATCTTCCTAGAGGGGTAAATGAACCCCCTCTCTGTCCTCACCAAACCATGTTGCGAGCTGCACTTTCCAGGACCCGGGGGAGGTAGAACACGAGAACTCATAGTAACGTCAGGGAGAGGAGCGCCACTGCCTCTCGCCTTTCGGCTCACTGAGAGTCTCCTGGAAGTTGACTTAGTTTACTATCTGTAGCTGCAGAGAGGAGCCAGGTGCGGAGCGCTTTTTCAGAGGGCAGAGCCTAGAAGGCCCTAGTCATGGAAACCCGAGGCCAAGGGAATCCCTGAGTTCAGCAGATCTCTGGCTGACGGCCTGGCCGTCTATCCTGTTCTTTCAGGTCAGACTCTCCTTTCACCACAAATCATGTTCTTGGGGCTTCTTCAGACAACCCGGTAGCGCTTAAGTCTAGAAGCAGATCAACTGTGGCTGTCTTCACAAGAAGCCCGGCAAGCCGGGGAAAAACAGAGAAGAGCCTTGCCCACCTCCCTTAAAACCGGCTCCTGTTGAGGGGGACCGCTGCACCACCTCAAGGTGAGACCCGCCAACTACCTAACTCCGTCCAATTTGTTGTAGCCATTGGGTTTACCTTTAAATATCATGTTGAACCAGAATAGGACACACATTGTGTTGCAGCCCAAGTGTGCCACTCTCCCCACCCCACCTTCCAGGTCAAGTCCTTAGGAAGTAAGTTTCACCGCACCTGCCTTCACTTTTTACTCTCTTTGGAGATGCCCTTCCCTTCCCTACCCCACCCCACTTCCACCTCCACTCCCCAATCTAATTTCAGATTGCTTCTAGCCTTTTCGGACAGATACCGTGAGAAATTCTGGGAATATTTAGTCCTATTGATGTGGACGATTAGGACCTAATGGTTGGAGGGGGGGTAGGGGGCACCGAGAGGGAACACTAAATCCATATGGAGACAGAGAGGTGGGAATTATGGACGGATGACTAGTCTAAGTCAGACGGACCATTTCCCAGAAACATAAACCCCGCTCCACTTTCTAGGAGTAGGGTGCGAACAGACAACAAGGCAGTTTCCCAGTAGAGCTGGAGTTGGCAAAACTCCTCCCCACCCCGGGGGTGACTGGGCTTTGGTTTATGGGGATAATTTAACTTGGAGTTCCTCAAAGCCCTGCCCAAGAAGCAGGCATCTTAAGCAACCCTTGGAGGAAGCTCCAATTTAATTACCATCTCACTCTCGTTTCTTCTAGGCCTCTCCGCCAACTTCGAGCAAAGTGCTCCCCCCACTCCCTTCCGCCCATCCTCCCTCCTTACAATCAAGACTTCTCTCCTGAGTTCACCCGTCTTGGTTCTGACTTTGTCTTGGATGTCTTGATTGACGGTTCCAATTATAAAAGATGATGGCTTGGGGAGGCTCCTGTAGCCTTGATTATGCCTAAGAGCACGGTCCTAGAATATTTTATCCATCCACGGGGCTCCAATGTATGTGTGTGCTTCCATTAACACCAAAGACAGGGAAACCAAGGAGACCTATTTTGCGCCCCCCCCCCCACTCCACCCCACAGTATATTGCCTCATTCTCCCTCATCTACTTCCCCATTTCTTCTCTAGCTGCCCCTCCCCCCAGCTTTCCCTCCCCAATTATCGCTCCAACCTTTCACTTCCTCAGCTCCGCACTCCAGAGAGGGCACTGAGAACAGCCGGTACTTGACATGTCAAGTGAAGGGTCTCGCAACCCTGACGACTTTTAACCTGGTGCAGGCTGGACAGGGCAGTGAAATGTCAAGATTTTCAAGAGTGGTTCTAGTTTCCCAGCTTCTAGTGCGCAAACGACGCTTTACAGACTCTGTAAGTTCCCCCCGGCTTTCAGCTCTGCTTGAGCGCTGTACAGAAGGAAGGTAGAGGAACCACGGACTCAGATTCCCTGGGAAAGCTAACTCTGGTTCTTGCTTAACTAGAAAGTCTCTACTTTTGTCCT